TTCAACTTATAAATTTTATCATATCTGTATTTTATATAATTATAGACTAATTAGTTTAGGCAGGTCCACATCAGCTGTAAAGTTGCGCAAATTTTAACCTGCGTTATCAAATAAAGTTATGTATGTATGTATGTATGTATGATCATTTTAAAACTTTAACACATAGGACCATTTTACAAGTTTCACCATTCTATTAACTGGACCATTTAATGTAGTCAGACCATTTTAATCGGTTGGATCATTTTCTCTATTGAGATCATTTCAAGCTTTTGACCACTAGATGCTGTACTCGGCTTGACTCATCTTTTGAATATATTTACAGCAGAGCTGAGTTCGTCTTTCTTTCAAGCTGCTAAGGTTGGTAGTATTAAGGGTATTTAAGTAACTATGGCATGGATAGATAATATGTAGTGCCCTTTTTTGAGTTGACTCCAGCTTATTTGAAAGAAATTCAGGAATATCTTGCCAGACTTGTACGCCATATTCTAATATAGGTGTTATTGTTGTCAAATAAACTTTGACAATTCCCTCTCTATCAACAACCACTTTTTTAAGAATCCCCAGGGAATACAGGCGTTTCGAAGCTTTTTTCGATAAGTAATGAATATGCTCGTTCCGCTTTAAATCATTACTGATTATAATACCAAGTAATTTATAAGTTGTTACACGTTCAACGGTGTTGTTATCTAGGACAATTGGTCTTACAGCAAAATTATTATTTTGCATGATGTTAATTAACACCTCTCCTGGGTGACTTCCAATCAGACAGAGAGTTACCAATCCTTACAGCTCGCGATCTCCCAGTCAGGAAGGCATTAATCCACTTAATTAAGACAATGTCTATATCGAGAGACGCCAACTCCCTGTGAAGAATTGAATGGTCAATCAGGTCAAAACCCTTTGAGTAGTCGGTAAAGAACATTCTAGCCCCACAATTCCCACAATCAGTTGCTTCGTGAATCGCCTGTAAGATATAAATTAAGGCCTCCATGGTGGAGTGCCCCTCCCTTGCGTACTGGCGTGGATCACGTTTTTCCAAAATTTGCGCCACGAACCTGCTGCGCGCAAACCCTTCCATGACTTTGGCAAGGGTACGTGTCAGAGAGGTCAGTCAGATTGAATTTCTTTGACATGAAGAAACCTTGGGCAAGGGGTTGATTATGGATCGCTTCAGCAGATTAGGAACACAGCCCTCCCTGAGTGAGCAGTTATAAATATCCATAATTAGTGGGGCGAGTTCAGGTGCAAAATCCTTTAAGACCTATTCGGTATCATATCAGGGCCAATTGCTTTCCCGACATTTAAGCTTGATAAAGAGTTATGCACCTCCCTGACACTCACTAGGAGGTCTGGGGGAACCTGTTGATTGGTTACTCCAGGGGGGGGGTCAAGGGAACAAAGTCCGATGTCAAACTAATAAAGTAATCATTTACCACATAAGCTAAAGACTTAATGTCTGGACAGTTTTCGCCTAAGAACTGATGGTACCATTCCTGTTCTATATCCTGGCCAGTTGATAACTTAATTTGTCTCCACCATTTTTTCGAATCCGTCTGTTCAAGGTCACTTACTTTGTGATGGTAATAATCGTATTTTGCCGACCTTATTTCCCACTGGTCTTTGTTCCTCAAAAGCCTATAGGAGGCAGAGTCTTTCCCGTCACGGATGAATGCAGTCTGCCGCTTTTTAATTTGCATCTTTATTCTCTTCGTTGTCCAAGGCCTGTCGGTCGGATGAATTCTAACCGTTTTCCAGGGAAGACAGGTGTCGACTGAATTTTTTAGGTCGGTAATAAAGAAGTGAAACTTATCTTTACATGATTCTGCCGAAGACAACTGCAACCAGTTCTTGTTTGTGAGCCAGCACCCAACGCCACGCACTTTCCCGTAAATCACGTACCCTCACCTTTTGAATTACCTGTGTTTGTGTGCTACTTGTTATTAGTTCTGCTAAAATCGTAACGTGATCACTCCTCGCCATCTTAGGTAGTTGAAACAACTGAAAAATGGCAGGTCTATTCGTAAGAAACCAGTCCAGGGTTCCTGTATCTCTGGTGTTAAATTTTACGAACTGTTTAAGATTGTTTGATTGCGTCAAGTTAATTTGAGGCCCGTCGAAGTAGGGTTAAAATCCCCGGCAATCACCACCAATGCATTAGGTTGTTTTATAAGCAAGCCGTCTAAATTTGATCGGATGTGGTTGGAGAGAACAACGTTCTCGGGTTGTCCGTTAGCGGTTGAATGGTAAACGACACAAAGGATTATTGACGAGATCGATCTAAGCAGGCTATGAGGCCTCAAAGAAAGCCACAAAGATTCCACATCTGGCTGCTCACATTGAAATAATCGAGTGCATGGTAAGGTTTGTCTCAAATAAATACAGACCCCTTCACCAGGCGCAGACGTACGATCGTTCCTAAAAAGGTTATACCCCGGTATGGCCACCGCAGAGTCTGAAATTTGCGGCGACAGCCATGACTCTGAGACACAAACAGCATCGGCATTGCTACATTCTGCGACATATTGCAGCTCATCGACCTTATTGCTGAGGGATCGTTTATTCGTGCCTAAGCCATTTTGAACAGCATCTTTTGGACCTTGGCTTGCTAGAGTAGATCTGGTAATGAAAGCTAGCGGTGAAGAAAACCGAAACGAATAACTTGCTTGGAATAACTCGTTCCTTGGAGACACCAGTTTCGCTGCAAAGTCTAGGGCCCCATTATAAATAATTTGGGAGCCATTAAATAGTAGATGTGTAACTAAATGGTAAGATATTAGATAAAAGATATGGAGCTTAAAAGTCGCGGTCGCCATGTTGGCGCTCCTAAGAGACAATGAATCTGGTGCAGTTAGACCATTCTCAGTGGTGTGAAAGTTCGACGAAAGAAGAGCACATTAACCACTTGGACCATTTTATCTAATAAGGTTAAGGTCACCAGTTGGGTTGGTCACCAGTTGGGTTTTAAGTTTAAGTATTTTAACCAGTTAAACCATTTTTTTAGGTAAGACCGTTTTAAGCAGTCAGACCATTTTATCTAGTTAGACTATTTTGATCAATTGGACCTTTTTAAGCGAGTGGACCATTTATCTGTTTAAACTATATTGATCCTTCATGGCTATGACCATTTCATAAAATAAAACAGTTTGAAGCAGTTGCACCATTTATTTAGTAAATGCACTTCAGGCGATTGGACCATTTCAAGCAGTTCGACTATTCTTTCTAAAGAGACCATTTGCTACCTGTGGGACCATTTTGTGTAGTTAAAGCATTTTCACTTGTTGGTGTTTGTGGCTACCGCTACCCATAGGAGTTAAAGTCACATATCTCGTCGAGATGAGTGTGTGAGTGATGGTAACAATAGGATTCCGATCTCGACCCAATTTTGACCCGATGTCTCCCGGTGAAACCTATTATTTGTTTCAGAGTACTACAGAAGAAAATAAACGTCTCACAATCATATCAGGATGGCGCATAAAAAACAAAGTTTTTCCTTGCTGAGATATGTCCAGTAGATCCGACGATATAATTTCTTCAGTTCTTGCCGCAATTCTGCAAAAGATGATAACCTTCTCAAAATAATTTCACACTGACGTCTTCAGCAAGTCATTGAAAACAAGACCTTACCTTGCATAATATATCTAAATAGGTTTGATCTGTACATCGTGGAAACTTTGAAAATTAATTTTATTTATTGGAAGATAGAGCATATTACTATTTCAACTAGCGGCTAATGGCCAAAATAGCCGCTAATTTTGCGTTGCGAGCTAGTTACAAAATACCATACCTCGAGTTTAACAGGGTGACCTTATTCGATGGAGTGATGAAACGCTGGAATGGCAGAATATCCTACAACGCGGAATGCCTTGTTGCATGAAACAAAAGTCTAACAAAAATGGAATGGCAATGAAATACAAAAATACTTTACAACAAACAGGCAAAATTGAAAGAATCATTATTGGAGCCTAGAAGAGAGACCGATAGAGGAAGAGTCATAGATAACGAAACTGGCTAATAGCAACTCTGAGCTCTTCCAAATTTACTGATAGCCTTAAAATACGATTGTCTTCACCTAAATCTCTTCTATAATTTGCGAGCTGATAGGCAGGTTCTTCATCTCCGTCTTTAAAACTTCTAATATTTTTGATAAATCGGCAACAACGAATGATTGTTGTTCAGTTTTCAGAATTCAGAATGTACGCCTTGTTTTCATCTCATAACTTGCACCAGTGGACCCTGAAGTGGAAGAAGAGCCAAGCTGAAGAGGCCTGGTTGTATTTCCCTCAATTTCATTTTCATTATGGGGTATAAAAAGGATCTGTTTCGCTACTTCGATATTTGAAAGAGAGAGGAATTCCCGAAAAATTTTGTTCTTAAGAGGTAAAAATATGGAAGTTAGCGAAATAGTCAATACATCTCTTGAGAAAAAGATACTAGTAGCTCTTAAGGCTGATCGAAACAACATTGTAGCACCTTTAATCCAAACAAGTTTGCACCCATAGTCTTTTCTGTAGGATATCCACAGTGCATATAATTGACTGCATCGACTGTTGATATCGCCAGCAGGAACAAAGCAGTTGAACCTCTCAAGAAGTCTCCAAAGCTTCTTAAAGAATCAACAAGCGTGGGTCTTTACGCTGACCGAACGTTCTGTGCGTAAATCTCGAACGAGAATTCACGGGTGAAGTTACAGAGGAGATGGAGAGCCACAATGTCAGAATTACAAGTGGAAATATCAAAATCCATCGTGAAAATTGCTTTGTCACGATATTAAACAGAACTTTGGCCCAACGATTATTCCATTACAGTACATTTCTTATCTTCATACTCATCAGTTCTGTAGTTGCAAAGCTTAGCTCTTAAACCAACGACCTCGACTATTTGCTTTCCACCTGTTTCATCTTACATCACAACGATTACTTTCTTGTTTTCTGCAAAGTATATTCTATCATCTTTTAAAAAGTTAGAGGTATCAAAATTTGACTCTGCATCACTAGCTATGTCAGCGTAAAAGCATTCTGTTTTTATCTGTACATTAACAAGTCCGTATCTATGAAGAGTAGTTCTGTTCTATCTCCATACTTGTCTTTCATATAATTGTAATGTAAATCAAACATAAACGTTTTTCTCAGGTCTAGAATGCAGATTCCAAGACATTCTGCATGGCTTGTCGAAGAAACCTTTAGTCTTTTTCATGTATACTTCAATCAGATTCTCATCGAACCTTGCTTGTAAGCTTCTCAGCTTTCTTCCGATTGTTTACCAGCCTTACATCATCTACTACTATACATATGCTTTACATCGTCTTCCTAAATACTGAGTTGTTCTTCATTTTGAAGCAATCTTTATCAAAGTCTGATTTAGCCTCCAATCCCAACTTAGTGTTGAGATCTATAGAGGGTTTTAGCCAACTCAAGGTGATTATTTGAAGTAGGCACAATTACACAAGTGATTATAGAGCTACACGCGCTATGATTGGTCGATCATTCCGTCACAGACCGCTAACACTATTCAGGACAGAGGCTGACATTTTCGAAGTTTAAAGGAAGCACGCACCAACATTTTTCGGCTACAAATGTGGAAGACAAGTAACTAAACTTTTTTTTTCTGAGATAAGAGTAGGTAGGTTTATTAGTTACGAGGTAAAATTACACACATCCATCTCAATCTTACAGGAAAAAGATTCTTCCAACCGCTTGCACTAAGGATTAAGGGACCTTCCTTCTTCTTTTTGAATGATCACTAATCAATTCCATGAGACTTTGTTGTGTTACTACAGTATGCTTATGTTTTCGTTTTCTAGAAAATACTTTGTCACGCTGTTTTTGTTGATGAAAGTAAGGTGAATTGAGAAGCTCATCAGGGAAATTAACCCCTAATGGCCGTAAAGTCTCCACTAAGTCCAAAAAAATAAGTTTATTTGTATTGTTGACAAACGTTAATGCCCAGCCAGTGGATCCTAACCTGCTTGCTCGTCCTACTTGATGAACATATTCCTCAATAGAGGATGGCATGTCAAAGTTAATCACCTGAAAAGTCAGTAAAGTGATTTATGTCATTACACATGCTTGCACTGTAATCAGTGAAACCCCTACGTTCCTGAAAGGAATTTTACTATAAATTGCAATATGAACTTGTCTATAATACTGCTAAATTCAGTTCTGTCTACATTTAAGAAGCCCATGGTAAATGTTGTGCAAAAGAATGTACCATCTCGCTGGCAATAATTAAACTGTGGAAGAGTTTCCAGGAAAAGACTCTTTTCTAGTAACAAGCTAATTGTTTCAGAGAGATGGGAAAATTCAGAGTGGCACGGCTCTAACATTTTTTCTGAGACATTTTTAAGATAAAGTCTGAAAACATAAATTTTTAACTGCATGGTCATGACTTCTCACCTGTCTAACTTTGGGAAGATCCATTCCCCTTCCCAGCAGGGAAGTGCATACAAGAACAGGACATTCACCACCAAGAAACAACTCTAATCTCTTACTCCTTTCTTTCTGTGACTTGTCTCCATGTATTGACAAGCAGCTAATGTTGCAAATCTTCAGAGGAAAAAATATTTTAGTTAAGCAGGAATCTTCAATTTTTTCTGAGAAAGATAGGGGCTGGGGAACTTTGCAACACAAACTAGGTGTTATCTTTTCAGTACAGTACACTTCTAAAACTAGTTCTCTTTGTGTGATGGGATAAATTTAAAGTCACTTCATGGCCTTTATAATAGGTACTCATCATTGAGAAAGGAAAAAAATAGGAATGAGACAAATAACACAAAAACAAAAGCATAATGACACGTTTCTTTTTTCTATAACAAAATCACCTTTTGTATTGCCTCTGCTAGCAGATCAGCTCCAATCTTAGAATTCACAAATACGACAACAGGAGGCATGAAGTGCTTGGGGTCTTGAAGAAGAGAAAACAGGTGTTTTTTCTTCAATTGTTCCTCTACCCACAGCACAATCTGTTTCACTGAAGCATTTGGTTCACTAGGTGAACCAACAGAGACATACACTGGATTGACAAGCAGCTTGTCAGCTACAATTTCAATAGAAGTTGAAACTGTTGCTGAGAACATTAATGTTTGCTTCTCTGCTGGCAATTTGTCAATTACTTCTTGAACCTACCAGAAATGAACAAAAAAAAAAGAGAAATGATGCTGTGTAAAGAGCTACTCTGGAGTATAGATTCATTATTGTGAGATCTTTACCAACACAGCAACAGGAAATAAGCTAGGATATAATTGAAATGTTAAAGACAACAAAAATTGGTACAAGTAACAAAAAACTACCATGACAAATTGCTTTTTTGTAACTTGCATTTGCTCCTCCTCCAAATACGTAGTAAATTTTGACTAAGCACATCCCATAAAATGCAATTTTCTGAAGGACTCAATCATATCCAATAACAACCAAACAATTTGGAGCATCTGTGTGAGCAACCTTTGCATTAAGTTTTTGGGAAAGTATAATCACTCACATTCTTGTGGACTTCCTCTCTTGTTTGATGTGTTAACTTATCATCAATTAATCAATTTTACATATCATACTTCACATGATAATTACAATGACCATGGATGTTGTGCATGCAGCAACTGAAACCACATTCATCCTTAACCAAGGGGAGGGGAAGGGGCTCTAAAGATCCAACAGTTGAAAATAGCTAATTGTTTTGTTGGTGAGTGGGAAAACTTTTATGTACTAAGGCACTTTGGTTTTGAAATTTTTGTGTAGAGTACATGTACCTTAATAATTCAATGTTTCTGGACATTTTGGGCTTAGTCCTTTGTCACTTCATCAGTGGAAAGAGAATTTGATTCTACAGTGAAGTTTGTGGTAAATAGTACCTGTTGCTCAAATCCCATTTGCAACATAATGTCCACCTCATCCAGGACAAAAACCTTGACAGAAGAAAGATCAACACTAGAATCTGTGTTAACTATTTCCCTCATCCTTCCTGGGGTAGCCACAATAATCTGTACACCTGAAGAAAGACGATGAAGCTGTGGAGGAATTGGCATTCCACCAACCAGTAATGCTGTTTTCATGTTTGGTAGGCCCTGCATCAGTTCCTTTGCTTGCTTCTCTATTTGCATGCAAAGCTCTCTTGTTGGAGACATTATCACACCAAAAGGATTGTTCGACAATCTTTTTGCATTGAACAAAAACTCTGAAAAAAGAAAGTAACATGTTGAAGCCCATTGTCACTTCAAACAATACTTAAGGTCAACAACAAAAATTAAGGGTTAGGGTACTGATGTGAGGGAATTAAGAGCCATTAAATGCATGTGCCACCTGTAGGACATACATGTACACAAAATTTAAATACTGCAAGAGTGCAGCACATCACAAAATGAAGAATTTTAAATTCCTCAGTGCAAGGTACATTATTTGTCACTGAATCATAAACAAGAAGTATCTAACCCTTAATTTAATTAATTAAATGAATCATGTTTTGACCAGCAGAGGATAGCAAGTAACAAAATGATCCTTCCAATTGAACTGCAACAAAATTGCAGAGAAAGAAGCCAAAAGGCAATACAGACATTTTAAATACTAGTAAGGAACTTTTAAATAAAATAATAAGTTCTTAGCTTCATCAGTTTCAGACAACAAGAGGGAACTTATTTATGAAGGTTGCACCAGTTTGTAGATAGAAGCAAACATGATGGACAAAATGAGTATAACCTTGCAAGGAAAATCAAGTTATTCACTTGGAACACAATAATTCATTATGTCTAAAGAAATACCATTTTCACAATGTAATGTGGTAGTTCCTTAGTGCTAACAAAAATGTCATAAAATAACTTTATGATTTCCAATTTCCCTTGAAACATATTTGGATGTGGGTGTGGAGGTCAATAAAATATAGACTTGAAGCTTTGAAGCCATCAACAGATATTGATAGAGTTTAAAAAAAGTTTTTTTTTGGTAGTTAAAAAGATGTACAAAAAGAATCACGAAAAAACTCCTGTCAATGCACTGATCATAGGTGTGCCAAACTCTGTAGTAAAGTCCTCTAATAAAGGTGGCCAATTTACAATATCAACTCTGTTGATAACACTCAATTACCCTGTACTCTCCCACCGATACAGCACCATAGTTTTTTAGAAACTTACCCCTTTGATTCATCTGGAGAACAAAACTACTTACTTAATCAACTGAGTGACCTCTCAAAAGAAAAGTTTGATCTCATAGTAATTCTATGCTCAACATTCAGATTTACTGAAAATGATGGAGTTAATCTTGAGTAACATCAACTAAATGCATATTTGGATTTTTTTTATTCAAAAACATGTGAAGGTTTGAGTACTCTCATTATCTTGACCATTGCAAAACTACAAACAATCCAACTCAAGGGTTGATGCATTTCATACACCTTCTATTCAGTGTAAGACAACAAGTAAGAAGCATTATCTCTTTGGGACAACATGCATTTAGAGTTGTGCTCTTCATCACACCTTCAGCTACTGAAATTAAAAAGGGTATCAGCCACCATCCCCAAGGGTCAACCCACTGGCAACCCGCAGGTGTGGAAGGAGATTTGGTCCAAAATCTTGTCTCACACCTTAGGACATTTTAGCTCTTTCCCATTTACACTCAAATAACCATGGGATTTGACATACTGTTGGTTGTTTGCCTTCATCCAATAATAGTTTTTAGTATAAAACTCTTGAAGATTTTTGGCTTTTTAAAATTGTTTTTAGGATATTCTCATTGTTAGTTGTCTCCTTGGAATATGTCATTGCAAACATTTTACTGCAGAGACTATTCAAAATAAAATTACCATCAACTCAAAAGTTCATATTCATAATGGAATTGACAAGGGAAATAGTTACGAGAATCACCCATTCAATGTTTTACTTGTGTTAAATAATCTTGCCATCATTTATACAATGCTGTTGCACTGTTTATTCTTATCAATGAGTTTTACCAAAGAGGTTACACCAGAAAATGGGCATAAAATATTATTGTTCCTTCAGTGAAAGTCTCTGACCATATTTCTATGATTTCTTTTTCTTTACTTGTTATGTTAACAGACTTGTTTGTTAAGACCTAACCATCCTTTACCATCTTTAATTTAGAGCTTGGAAACATAGGGAGGCAATGCTGTTTTTTAAAACAGGGTTGCCTCCATATTTTCCAAGTTTGAAATTGATGATGGTTTTCCATTTCCTAATAACAGTTTCTGCATCAGATATATTTTGATCCAGGTGGCTTGCAGTGATTTGTTGAAAATTGCATCATCAATCATTTTCAGTCCACCTTTGAGTAATCATTGATCATGGGTCAATGTGCTGCAAATATGCATAAATTAAACTGTTCATCCAAAAAAGAACTACATAGAGATATGGTTATAATTCTCCTCCGAAAAACTAAACCTGAGCACAGATCATCCTGAAATACTGTAATATACATATTGTATATTATATATTATTGGAAAACATATTATGTTTTCCAATATACATATTGGAAAACAACTGGCGACTGAAGACTTTCTGCAGATATCGTTCATTGCATAAATACAAGCTAAGTAGATCATAGAGTTAAAGGAAATTCTCCAAAACATCTATCTTTTATTCAACTAACTCACCAACTTCTGCGTATATCCTCTGAATAATTGGTACTAAAAATGCTGCTGTCTTTCCTGAACCAGTGTGTGCACAGACCAATAAGTCTCGGGAACAAAGGCTCACCGGGATAACTTGCATTTGAACTGGAGTTGGAGTAGCGTATCCACAGCGAACCAAGTTACTTTCTAGAGTTTCAGTCAGTTGGCAATGCTTAAATTCTAGAATAGGTTTGCTTACATTATTCCCCCTCACCCTAATGTTTAGAGCCTCTCGAATATCATCAACCTTGCTCACTGATAACTTTGCTATGACCGGATTTTCGTTGTATTGAAGTTGTAACTTGTTTGAGAAAGCTTTCATTCTCAATGCCCCTCCGCTTTCAGCCGTGCTGTCCAACAACTCTTCATCTTTCTTTGCCGATGTGCAATTTAAGTGTCTTGCTTTGCATTCCAAACTGCAGACGTCTCCGTCTGTTTGGTCCACAATGTAGGCTCCATATCGCCCACAAATCACGCACACCGGTTCTCCAAGTGTTGGCCACCTCTGATTTTTACTATATGAAATCACTTTTTCTTCTTTTTCACCTTCTTCTTTGTCCATATCATCTTTGCTAATATCTTCGGCGAAAGTTTCTTTTAGGTAGAACGCGAAAGGGTCTGTAAAGGCTCCTGAATCATCACTTTTCACGGGTATTGGACTTGGGTTCGTAACCGATTTCCGTTCATCAATTATCTCTATTTTTCTTAAGTTTGAATTTTCAGTGGAGATGGGGTTTGACTTATGTGAAAGGTGGTAATCTACCCTTCTAGTTACAGATCGCGGAACAAACATGGCAGCCAAACTCGTACTTCGGTGTTAGTTCCCACTAAGGGTGACGCTATATCGAAGGCGTTCGTCGAGGGTAAGAGTACACGGTAATTTTGGTCAGCGGGGACATTATGAAACCCGCGAATGTTGCGAAAGCTCGCGAAAGGATGACATCTAAAAACAGAAGACAATATATGATTGGACACTAGAATAAATTAGAGATTGACTTCCTTGAGGAAAACCTTGAAAATTGTTCTGTTGAAAACCAATACTTCTTGGGTTATTTCGACGGGAAAAGAGACGAGTTCGAGGATATGCTCGAAAGGTTTCTTCTTAATAATAATAATAATAAAAGATTTATACCGCGCCAGTATCCTACTGTTCAAAGGCGCCTACAAGAAAAAAAACTTAAACATTAACACTTAAGACAGCTAATATTAATTATAAAAGGCTTTTCTAAAGAGTAAAGTTTTTAATCTACGTTTAAAAACAGACACAGACTGAGCATTTCTAATTTCACTTGGCAAAGCATTCCATAATGATGGTGCTGCTACAGAAAAGGATCTTGCGCCATATGTTTTCAAGTTATAGGATGGAGAAACCAGAAGGTGCTTGAATGATGAGCGTAGTTGACGCGATGGGGTGTAAGATGTAAGCAGATCACAAATGTACGACGGTGCCAGGTTGTTAAGTGCCTTGTAGGTTATAAGTAAAATCTTAAAAATAATACGTTGGTTAACGGGAAGCCAATGAAGATTGAAAAGAACAGGCGTGATGTGATCATGTTTTTTTTTTGTAAGTGTGACGAGGCGCGCCGCGGCATTTTGAACGTGTTGTAGCCTTTTTTTATAGCGTAGGCTGGTAGGCCATACAAAAGGGAATTACAGTAATCCAGCTTCGAAGATACAAACATATGAACCAGCAATTCAGTAGTGGTCGCTGAAAGATATTTCCTGATATAGCTAATATTTCGCAAATGATAAAATGAAGATTTACAAATGTCAGTAATATGATCCTTAAAGCAAAAATGGCTGTCGAACATAGTGCCGATATTCCTCGCCTTTTGCACGGAAGGAATAGTCTCACCAGCAACTGAAATTTCGTGAAGGAGTGGTCTTGGAAGATGTTTAGCGGAAATTACCAATAATTCAGTTTTGTCTTTATTTAATTTAAGACGATTAACCATCATCCAATGACTGATTTCATCCACACAGCTCTCGATGCTAGAAACCGCTAGATCCCTATCACCCAGTACGGTTGGTTGGAAAGACAAGTAAAGCTGTGAGTCGTCAGCATAAAAATGATAGCTCAGGTTAAATTTCTTTACGATATCTGAAAGCGGTGAAGTATAAAGCAAATACAAAATGGGTCCCAAAACCGATCCTTGTGGCACTTCTTATTAGTTTCACATGCTTTGTAAAGGAGGCCTTGCACTCAAAGGAGTTAAATCACAAGAAGTTTTCGAAAAATGGTAAGCAGTTTCTTTAATTTTTAGCTGATTTGTTTGCCTTTAACAATTCGGTGTGGGACTTGTAGAGACTTTATCTTTGGCCGCAATTTTGTAAAAACTTACGTAATGTTTCGGGAGTAAAAGTGTTAAAATATTTAAAAGTATTTCATATATAGGAAAGCCCTTGGAAAACACTCTAAGTGCGTAATCTAGTATACCGAAATACTTTTTCAAATAATACATTTGCAGCGTCTCCCGTCTCTGAACACAATGGTGGTAATGTACCGATCCAATTTTTTGGCAAACCGTTTACCATCGTAAGCAATGAAACTCGGCATTGCCTCCACGGACCAATAAAGGTGAGAATTCCTTTTGAAAACAGAGTTTGAAATATAATGAAACGTACCAGTAGTATTCGATTTTTACATAACCCGCGAAACTGTTGTAATTTTTTCTAGGTATTTTAGTGGAGGAATCCATCGAGCTTTTCCCATACTGAGGAAACAAAATCGGTAAGGTCATTTACATCCATTTAATTCAGAATTCCCCATAAACGTAGGGTGTGTACAATTCTTAAAATTCCCGTTCGTTTTTTCACGAATTATCTGACGTTTCAGTGTTGACAAATTTTTCGTATTACGTAAGTAAAAAACATTGATCTTCTCTCAACGGACTCAATGCTGCAAGGAGAATCTCTCTCATAATTTAATTTTTTAAGAGACGACATCACCGTCTAAAATTCAAATGTTGCTGTTAGGCTTATTAGCGCATCGATAACCTAGTAAATAGCTCAAACATACTGAAAACATATTCATTAATTTTTGTATAACTTTATCTGTGAGCCACGTGTGAGTAAACAAAAACAGAGAAGTATAGTTTGATGGTTCGTTTTCATGAATCTAGGATTTTGGGAATCGCTATAAACTACGCGATCACGGATTTGATACTGATTGATAATGATTGATACTGGAAGAAAATAGTAACGGTGTAATGCTATTTTATGTGCCCGTTATAAAAAAAATTTGAGCTCGCATTTAGCTTACAAGTAAAAATCCCATGAAAATTGTTCAAAATAAATATATCTCAGTGGTTATTTTATGACAACCACAAAATACTCAAATAAAATCAAGAAACTGCCGCAGGACCTCAAAGCTCCTTTGTTAAGAACGATCTTTTTTAAATTTTTCGTGGGGAACAAGCGCTGAAGCTTACATGACATATTATATTTAACCGCTGTACTACAAACTTGTGTGTTCGACCCTCGACGAACGCCCTCGATATAGCATCAGTTCCCAGTGTTCCTTCTCGATTCGTGGTCAAGTCTTAAGTGGTACTTCATGTAAGAAAGTAACAGTTTGCATGAGAGAGACAGAGAGCATGGCTGTAACTCTCGATTTTAGTCATTAAATGCATGAGAGACGACGAATTACTAATGACTTCATTAACAAAAAGTCGTTTTGCTGTCTTAGAGGTCAGCGATGATGACAGCGAAGGAGAATTCCAGGGGGTCAGTGATGAGGCACGAAGGAAATGCGATGACAGCAAAAATGCTGGAAAAACAAAGAAGAAATGCAAGAAGAAGAAAAGGAGCAGACAGAAAAGTAACGAGGTGGTCGAATTGTAATGAACTTATTTTTAAATCCTGTGGATTAAATTATAGCTTATATTGGAAAGTTTGCATTCGGAGCTAGACTAAGAAGAAATTAAATATAGAATAGCCTTCGGTCACAAGGACTAAGCTGAGGATCGTATCTCTGTAGAAAGAAGTTTGAATGTAACCTTATTTACGATGCAGATCTCCATATTTGTAGAAGTATGGAGCAATATAAAGATTGGTACGACAGTCGACATCTTTCTTAAGGGAACATTCAAATCAGCAAACCTCCCTGAGCCCTACCCTCAATTTATGATTTCTTTTATTTTAGTCATCTGAAACTGCTGTAATGAATAGGGTGGATTCAGGTGGTAAAGAAGCATCTGTACAAAGTGGAGATTGGGATGAATGGAAGCAAAAAGATGAACAGGTCTGATTTTCATGTCAGATATAAAGTGATGTTGTTCCTAGAAAACAATATTTACCGTTTCTTTGAAAGACGAAATGACATTTTTTTAGTTAAACAAACATTTTTCAACGTTTCTATGCCATCTTCAGTTGCAAATGTTCCTTGTAGAATATGAAGCTTTCTTTACCATAGCAACATAAAATTACACAGAAAAATTATGTTTTAAAACTTCTTTAACTATTAAGTTAGGTCCACAACTGAAATTCTGAAATACTGGGAAGAAAAAAAATAGTAATAGTAGTAAAAGTAAGGTCAAGAATGGAAACTAGTAATAGCAGAAAGTCATCAACAAAATTGAATAAAAGGAGATAAATGTAAATTCTACCATTTAATGTACAGTTAAAAATCATGCGTATCTTAACTAAAAATAGAGGAAACACAATAAATATATGTGTGTATTTATACATGCATGTGCATACTTTGACAAATGGATCTTCAATGTCTGTTGCTACAAAATTAACTATTTCTGTGAGCATCTGGTGTAACCATTTAACTCCCAAGTTCTGATTTTTAATTGACCCCTCTAACCTCTATATATTTCCTTGAATTTAGTAGTTATAAGAATTTAGTGTTAAATCAAGATAATAGCTTCTACCTGATATCTTTGAGTATTCTTATTACCTGTTTGTTGGATAAATACATATTATTTGCCGCCTGTATGGTGAAATACTGTGACTGAGGGCAGCATTTTCAAGACTGAGGTCACAGTTTTTTACCATATGGACTGACCCTTGAAGCCGATAAATAACATATGTAATTTTTTTCTTTAATTAACAAAATTCTTTCTGGAAGTACCCGAATGATTAAGTGCTGTAAATATGGCAAGATCTTTCATAAACTGAACAATTTTTGAGCGACTGAACAGTAATTAAAATAGAGGTGATGCAAATTAAAGAGAGATGCTTTACTAAAACATTTTCATTTGCATAATGTAAAGGTGATTTAAAAGGCTTCAAAACAAACTTTGAAACATTATTTTTACAAGTGTCTGTTACAATCTGACATCTGTCAATTAGAGAGTGTGTTAGAAAAGAAAAAGCATATGTACACTTTTGAAAAACAATGAAACTAGTTAGGCAAGGACTGTTACAATATTGTTTTCTTCAAAAACAGACAATGATCTTCCAGAAAGTATTATTCACTCTCATCAACAATTAATTCATGTACGAAGATTTACCTCAGTTCATTAAGTAAACGGTGAGGGAAGTAATTGTAAGTAAATTCAAATTTTTTATTTTGAAGTTGTGAGAGTTTGCTCGTTTCTTTACTGATATGGCATGTGTAAATCTGGTCTTCCTCCATAAAACCTAAATTCAAATGAGACACTCCAAGGAGACACAAGGGTATTTAATGTAGCCTTTTCTCATTGAATTCCTTCAGTTTCTGTTGTGCAATGTATGATACAAATATCTAAATTGAACAGACTTGGAAAAACTCACCAAGAGCATATATTTGATGCAGGACTGAAATTAAAACTTCACTCGCCCTTTCACTACAAATGAATTGTTTGAGAAAATTCAGATACTAAATGAATGAACCAAATGTAGCCAAATGCCTCACATTTTAACTTTCTAGGTACTTTTTGTGAACAATTAAAATTAATTGCAGATGGTTTTTAGGCCTCTTGTCAACCAACGTTAGTAACACTATTGCTTATACAAATTCATTTTGAAACCAATATTTTTCTGTCAACCAAAGAATTTGGGAGAGAGAAAAGAGAGGACTAATAAGTTATTTATTGGCTTGAGGTAGTGACCGACGTTGTTGCTCAAAAATACTGCCTAGCCGGAAAAACGAGATTTATTTATAAAGAATTGGCATTGAAAGTAGGGATGTACTCAGTGACTCAGGAAAGCGTTACCAACTTGCCCGTGGGCAGAGATAGGAAAATACTGACCAGGTAAAGAACCAATCAGATTGTAGGATTCGTTACCATGCCCTCTGAAAAAAAAAAATAAAGGAAAATACAGACTGCATAAAGAACCAGTCAGATTGCAGGATTTGTTACCGTGCCCTCTGAAAAAAAAAATTGTATGATATTATAGGAGAACTTACATGTTAATCAGTCCTGGGTTAAAGTTAGGTGCATATTTTTAAACTTTTAAAAAAGTTTTAAAATGTGTAGTCAACCTTGAATTCCAAAAATATTTCATCTTCAGAGTCACCATAATAGCTACTGCAATGGTAAAATTCTATCATGTTAAGACCTAATTCTATCATGTTAAGACCTAATTCTATCATGTTAAGGCACTAAGCTTAACAGGAATATCACACCCCTTTGTTGCTTCTGTTGAGTATTGGGAAAACTTATGTCAAAAAAAGATTGAATGATGCAACCTAGGGTTTATTGCTGATTAAATAGCTTATTAAAGTACTTCATTTCCTCTTCAGTTTGTACTTGGTCAATTCCAAAGGGACCTAAAGGTATGCTGCAGTTTTCAATTTCTACATCTCTTTTTTATTAGTGTATGACAGCATGTTGGCTAATCTGTTATCAAATGTACCGATGAATTTATTCAATAAAGTACCTTTTTTCCTTGTCTATGCTAAAATGCTAGGCAAAACACACTGCTTTATGCACTGATCAATTCAAAACTTCAACATCCCCCCACCCTAGGCAACCCACAAGCATTTGACCATCATCTTTGCCTGAGGGATGGGGAATTTGAACCTTGCCTGGTTGGGGTGGGGAATTTGAACTGAAAGTGTCAAGTCTTTCCAGTGAAACGCAAGTGCTATATATTTGAATATAGAGTGGGTAAATTGTAGTTTCACTTTTCCAAGCACATGGCTTAGACGAAAAGGTCTGTAAGGTCTAGGTTGTAAGGCTTGGTCAATGTGTGTAAAGTCATGATCAATGATTTTACCTTTTGCAAAACAAAATTAATAGTGGCATTTGAACACAATTTTTTCCTTAGGGGTGACAATTTGAACAAACCAATTCTTAATATGCTAAAATACCTGGAAGGTTACCTTAAGGCAGGGTAATGTTGAAGATTAGAATTGATTGATGCATTGGGATGGAAATGTTTGATAACTCAAGGGCTGTACAGTGTTCAAGAGCCAAATTTGCTATAGCACTTTAATGGCCAACATTCATGCAAATTTGATGGGAATTTGTGATGCATGGCTGTATTTATGGGTTTTCAAGGGGAGTTCAGTATGTACTTACTGTGCACACCATGCTGTCATATTGGCCACTATTCTTGGAACATCTGGAGGAGATCATGCTTGGGGAGTTGTTTGTGTGATAAAGGTCATTTTTTAGTTGAATATTTAGTTTCCTTATTTAAATAATCTTGTCATCATTTCTCACTGTAAAAATATAAAGCCAGTTCTTATTTTTATAGAAGTGATTAATGGAAGTGATGTCTTGATTCTTTGCTTAATGTGAGATATTTTTGTACCTGAAATAGAAAATGACAAGAGATTGGTGTAAGTTTAGCAAAGACACCAAACATCCAATGGATACATTGAAATATAAAATTGCTGGCAACAGAATCTATTACTACCCAATAGATATATTTGAACTGGTTGAATTTGATCTAGAGCATCCTTTTAGATTTGTGTTATTTGTGGTGTAGCTGAGTAGAAGTTACTCACTGAAGCTTTCTAAAGAGACATTTCTGTGAAAACTCAAGAACTGTGTTTGTCTATCACAAAATTTTGGGGGAATGTGGAATAAAGTGCATCATGCCCAAAGATTCACGTGAGAAATACTGGAAGAATGAAAATTACTAAGCACCTATAGAGACCCTGAAGCAGCTGGTGGTTTAGATGGAGTTTGATGATTTGGTCAAACTCATAAGCTTTCTATACTTTAGATAAAGACAGACATCTATTAGAAATTGATCTAGAAGGCAAGGTACATTTTTCCAAATTACCCATGTTGGTCTTCAGCATTGACCAATGATAGCCAACCTGGTAGAAATACAGTTGTTGGCCAAATACAACAAGGTAAACAGAGACCTGTTGAATTTTATCAAAGTCCTCTTCAATGTGCTTGGGCGGAACTTATCAAAGCCAAACTGGTATTGTCTTTGAAAATGCAGACAGACATTGCAGAAGAGTTTTACAATAAGACATTTCAAAGGTTGATGAAAGGCAGACATTGTTCACTTTCCTACCAAAGGGGCTCCAGCAGATCAAGTGTGGTGAAACAGTTCAATCACAATGTTTGTTGTATTTTCACAGCAGGTTTTTTTTAAAAAAAGATCCATAGAAAGTTACTTCCTCTTTACAAATTAAATTGTTCTAATATTGGCTGTCTTGAAGCAATGTTTGTCTACCTGCATTTTATTTTTTAAGACTCACACAACTTTTTGAAATATGATGCCGAAAATGTACTAGTGTTGAGCTGTGATGCCAAATATTACAGTAGCAAGAATCATCTTTGAGTGAAAACACAGTTCAATAGATTCAGCATCAATGAAATGTGTACCCGATATCACCTTTTATATATGCCTTGCAAATTTTGGTCGTCAAAACTTAAAACCTGTTGTCCTTGAAAGTGACGGTTTGAAGGCCTGGTAGCTTTTTCCTCCTACAGGTTATATCATAAATAATGAATAATCTCAGAGACAGAAATACATTCATTAACAACCATTAACAATTTAATCTTCATCTACATGAAAATACCAGCAGGTTGCTAAGATGATGTGTCCTCTCTTGATAGGAAGCTTTGGAAGCAAGTAAACAAGATGCTTGGCATGCTAAACAAAAGCAAGTATGTGTACCCGACTTTATGTCAACTGGCTTATGAGATAATTGATTATCAAATATTTTTTGATGAAAACAGTCATAAATTGAAGTAGGGAAATGGAACAGTTATTCAGAGTAGTTGTTTATAGAACTTTACTTGGATGAGAATGATAAAGTGATTAAAATCGCCTGCAGTATAAGATGATGGCCTCCTATGCAATAATTTGTGACTCCTATATTCCAGGGATGGTAGTAGTCATGTGAAGAAAGGTGAGAAAATATAGGAGGATAGGTGTTGAGTTGGTCTAGAGAATTAGATCAGATGAAAATATCCATGGTAGAAAAATGATGAAATAAATACAATGAATACTTAGTTGGAATAATATACCATCACTGAAAACAATCCTGGCCTACCCATGTGGTCAGATCACAAACCTCTTGAACTTTGTATTGAGATCTACCCACTTCCAGTACAAGGGATCAATTTGCAAACAGACAGAGGACACAGGATCTGGAAATGCTATGTAGACAGCACCTTCCATTCACTTCACCATGGAGACAGAAAGCACCAGCAAAGTCTCCTTCTTTGACACCACAGTTACAAGAAAACCTGATGGACACTAAACAACCAGCTCATACTAGAAGCCAACACACACTGACCAACACCTACCATATGATTCACACCATCTGCAATCAGTAAAGCCCAATGTTGTCAAGTGCCTCTATGAGTGTGCAAAACATCTTGTAACAAAACCCTCCACCATCTCTAAGGAAAAGAAACATCTGTTATCTGTTCTCATTTCTATTGGTTACCCTACCTCTTTAATGCAGAGCTAGGGTAGCAAAAACCAAGAAACCAACTGCCCACCAAGTTCAGATCCACAGCAGTCCTGCCCTATGTCGAAGGCCTCTCCAGACAACTTTGCTGCTATCTACAACAACAAGGCATACAGGTTACAGCGAAAACAAAGAGCCCCAAAAGTTAGACCCTAAGACCAGAAAACAAAAACCCAAGAATGAAGATCACTTTATTTTGTTTATTAAACACAATCTTGTCATGGTTTCTCACCAGTAATATTCAGCTCTAGTGTTATTTTTTTTTAATAGCGGCAAAGCATGCAATCAAACACTGCATTTAGATTCAAAGACCCTGAAAATGAAGACATCAAAAAAAATACCAATTTAGTTTCCTTATTTAAATAACCTTGTCATCATTTCTCACTGGAAAAATATAAAGCCAGTTTTTATTTTTATAGAAGTGATTAAGCATGCAATAAAAAACAGGTTTTATGTGAAAAGGCCCAGAAAAAGAAGACCCTTATGAGAAGGCCTGAAAATGAAGAACCCCCTATTTTCAAAACAACATGGCGACTCTGAAAGAATTGCACCGCATTCGCCCCCTATCGAGTTTGCCCCTACCTTATGCCGTGTTCGCCCCCACACTTTTCGAGTTCGACCCCATTAAGTCGAGTTTGCCCCTTGATTGAGTGATATCCAGATGAGTTGATTTGTGACGAAGGCACTAGCAGAATGTGCTAAATGTCACATCAGCGACGACCATTTTGAATTTTGGCAATTGCATGGAACCTGCTTGGGAACTGGGTTGACGGAATCAACTAAACACTCTGCGTAGGATCTGGGGTTACCAAAAATAACTGTATACACAGAACTTGTGATAAAGAGAACCGCACTTAATCAAAACAACATTGCTTAACTTATTATTCAGACTGGAAAAGATGTAAAACAACCTGGGTTAATCTAACGAACATGAAATGTGTTGACCGTAACAGCCAGACTTGAGAAGATGCAAACCACGCTTTCATCGTGACATCATTGCTTAAGTTGTTAGACTTGTACCTATTTAGCTTTATTTATGAAATTAAGACTGAAGAATTTACAAAAGCACGATTTGATCACACTTTTGATTATTTAAGACTTCTTAAGAGAATGCCTTGCACACTTCCTTGTGTTTTCGGTCCTAGCAACCATACTTGAGAAGATGTAAACCACGCTTTCATCACAACAGCATTGCTTAAGTTGTTAGACTTGTACCTCGTTTAGCTTTATTTATGAAATTAAGACTGAAGAATTTACGAAACCACAATTTGATCATGCTTTTGATTATTTAACAATTCTTGAGAGAATGTGTTGCACACTCCATTGTGTTTTAAGGTCATAGCAACCAGACTTGAGAAAATGCAAACCAGGATCGCAAACCATGCTTTCATCGTATTGTGTTAATCATAACAACCAGACTTGAAAAGATGCTATTAGCCCCATACTATTGTAAAACAAATCTGTTTTCCCACTGGCAATCTATTGTTTTTGTCATTGTTCTCTCAATCCAAGAACTGAATGCATAATGTAGTATGGGGCTGTGCGGAAATTTTACCGACAGAGGCAATGCCACAATGCGAAAAGAGAGGAAGGTTGACTAGGGTAAAAGACTTCAACTTCTCCATTATCAATAAGTCTATCACTTGCAATCGTTGAAAAACAGTTTTTTTAAAACCTTTAACATGGATTCCTGCATCGTCTGCGATCAAATCGTTGTTCTTGTCAAGAGGCCCTCCTTTGCAACGGATGTGAACGTTGGCAACACCGTACCTGCCAAACTGGCATCAGCCAGCAAGACTACCGTGGAGCAGCAGTTCTGGCGAATCAATCAATTGGCACTGTGAAGAGATGAGCCTTAAATCGATCTACACTTTGCTAGCTACAATGTCTTCCTCCAGTTTTTATTTGACATTGCTTCAGCTGGGTAAAGTCCCATTACAGTACCACCTTTAAAGATGAAAGCTGTTTAAGAATCAACAAGAAAAACAAGAATCCAACTGTAGTTCTCACATGATTCCCACTGCCTCTTAGTTTTAAGGGGATGACTGCAGAATTAAGAGAATACATGTAAAGCTGGTGTTTGAGTGCATGTGTTATTGCTCCCAGAAAGGTTTAAAGGGGAGGTGGATATTTCCAGCAAGAAACCGTATTGAGATCATGTTTAATAAAGAAAATAAAGGGGTCTTTGTTTTTGGGTCTTAGTTGTAGTTCATCTTTTTTTGGGTCTTAGGTCTTAAGGGGTCTTCATTTTCACTACAACCAATCTAGAATTGAAGGTCTGTGAGAAGGCAGCATTCTTGAAAGGGTGCAATGACACAGAGTACATCTAAATGAAACAAAAGGGCCATGAGTTCACTGCATTCTTCCTGGGAATGCCACAGAATAGAGTTGCAATAATATTAGATAATAAAATATGTGACTTTCATATATTCTTAGCCATTTATTTGTCACTTCATGGGTTTATTTGGAACCAACATAATGACCAGCTCTCAGTTGGCTTGTTAGCTCAGTTGGTAGAGCACAGCACTGGTATTGCAGAGGTCATGGGTTCAAATCTCGTACAGGCCTGAATTTTTTTCAGGCCTTATTTTCACTACTGCTCAAGTAGTGTACATTACTGCAAGGATCACTTTCATTCACGATATTAGATAATGATAATAATAATAATATTAAAGTAAATGGATGGTTTGGGAATTTCCTGCATTCTTCTAGGATATGCAACCTATTATAGTCACAAAAAAGTTCAAATAATGGAAACTATTGCAACATTTGTTAAAATACCTTGCAGGAATTGATGAAAACAATGACAATTAGCCATGAAGATGATGAGAGGAAGAAGGAAAAGCCTATTGTGATGTCATTTAATGAGTTTCAACCCATGAGATCCACAACAGGGATAAATTCACCAAAGCTTGAAGAATCTTCCAAAACAGGACTTGATAATTTTCCTGCCTGGCCTAATGGTTTTCCTGTAAGTACAAGGGGAAGTACAAGACATTCAAAAGGTCAGATTTAGAATTTTGTTAAGTTTAACATTGCTTGATAAAAATGTTTCTAACTTTAAAAGATATGGAGTACATATTTAGGTGGGCACTGTGCCCTATTGGAAATATGTACAGGAATGTGTCCTTGACAATTGCTGTAGAAGACTGCTTTGTTCTGTATGGATAATATATGTATGTTGATTAGCCCTGGGCTAAAAGCAAAGCTCTCATTATGGAATTTTCACTGTCCTTCATTTTATTAGAACCAACCACAGGCTGTTGAGGCATATAGCATGACATAACAGATATCAATTTGAATTCTGTTGATCACTCCATAACTCTGGGAGAAAATTCTACCTTTGTCTAAACCTTCCCAGACATATGAACAAAAGACAATAGCAAGATGTTGGAAACAAAACTAAATCTAACTAAAGGGGAGGCAGGGGATAATGCATTTAATCCAGGTTTAATGCATAAATTAATCAGACTACAGTGAGTGTCAGTGATTTTAGTTTCATTCCAAAACCTCATGGTATGACATGGTCATACCAGGAGGTAAAATGGGCAAAAAAGCATTTTTCACACAGGATTTTATCCAACTGTTAAACCCATTCAGCTTTCCGTTTAATTTTCCCATCTGTTGAATGCTTTCCTGAATTTGTTGAAAACATGTGTTCCATGTGGTTCATATATAATTTATATATATATATAAATTATATATATGTTGTGATAGGGGAAAAAAACAGAGAGACTATACTTTCATCCCTACAAGCCTGTTTCATGATTGCTCACTCATCAGGATTTTTTTGTTAAGAATTTTAGTACCATTGTTTATATGCTTTATAAATTTACATAAAAATAATACTTCAATTGTTATGCAGTAAGGTTTTGTTTCTGTGACGGCATGAGAACACGAGTTCATTACATTTATTGAGTGGTGATAATTCAGGTCAGCAAAGGCAGAGGTTGCATCTTTTGTTTGCACTGTTGTATCAGAATGATGTGGTGTGGTTTCAGTATTTAGTCTTGAATGCGTTTGTTGTGGTTGTTTTTGATCTGTTTAGTGTTGTTCATGCAGCTGTAACTGATCTTGATTGTGTTAAGATTAATGAATTTTTCTAAGTTTGTGGTCTTTTGGGAAGTGCTTGTCTATTAGGGCAAGGAAGCTGTGTCCGATATTGTTGCTTACATTTTTGCTGTATGGGGGGTTGTACCAGAGAATGTTGTTCCACAGCATCAGTGATCGAGTGGTTTAAAGCCATTAAAAACAAGAAACACCACAGTTTTATTTGTTTTAACATAGAAGAATTCTACCTCTCCATCAACCAGTACCTCCTGAACAGATCACTCGACTTCACCTCAGCCTACAATAACATCACTGACAACAAAAGAAACATCATAACACATGCAAAACAATCAATCCTTGTGCACAAACAACAACCCTGGCAAAATAAGGGCGAAACATCAAACCGAAAAGCAAAAAAACAGAAAACATCAAAAAAGAAATATGCTGCATCTTTAACCACAATAGACTATGGATCACCATTGAAGCCAACAAATAGACCATCAATTTATTAGACATAACTTTCAACCTGAACAAAAACACCTACCAGCCCTTCAAAAAGCCTAACACCAAACTACAATACATCCACTGCAAGAGCAACCACCACAAAGAACATACCCACCATTATCAACAAAAGACTGTCATCCCTTTAATCTGACAAAGCATCCTTCAACTAAGCTACTCCGCCATACCAAAAAGCACTCGATGAATGTGGATACCAGTACACTCTACACTACAAACCACCCACGACTAACAACCAAAAAAACACAATGAAACAACATTCTCTGATACAACCCCCCTTCAGCAAAAATGTCAGTACCAATATCGGACACAGATTCCTTGCCCTAGTGAACAAGCACTTCCCGAAAGACCAGAAACAAAAATCTTTAATCATAACACAATCAAGATCAGTTACAGCTGCATGAATAACACTAAACAAATCATAGACAACCACAACAAACGCATTCCAAATTCATCCAAACACATCAGTGTTACCATAGATAACACCAACACAAAAGACACCAAAACTTGCAACTGCTGACAGAAGAACACATGCCCACTTAACAGAAACTGCTGCCAATCATCTCTAATTTACCAAGTCACTGTCACAAGCAAGGACAACAGCACCACTGAAACATACATCGGACAAGTACAGAAAATGACTTCAAGACTAGGTACAGAAACCATACCGCATCATTCCAACACACAAAACTCAGAAACTCAGAAATAGTTTTATAACATAGCACGCAAATTTGTCTAATCAAATTCAATTGTGTGAGCGTACTTCATATTCCTATTGTGCACGCTCATGATGTCAGCAAACAAATCCCTCAAGAATTTTGTATTCAATCAGATGATACAGTTCATTTACACGCATGAATTCACCTGTCAGTTTTTTGACCAATTTAAGACAAGATCATTTGCAGCATGGCAAAATGTTTTCCTGAAACAAAATTATCAACACACTGAAGAGTAGCAGAGGGAATATTAACCCTTCTACAACATTCAAACCATTGGGTCGAAAATGTTATAAAACAATTGGTTCATACATCAGCGTGCGTTCATCGAGATATGAAGCACACAGGAAGTTTGGAGAGCACGAAAGATGCGTAAGAGTTGCTCAAGGAATAGCCGAGAGCAATTCTAGCTTCTTGAGTGCTCTCCAAACTTCCCAAGTGCTTCATATCTCGATGAATGCACAGCTGACGTATGAACCAATTGTTAATTTGCTAATAACTTTTTTTAATCACCAGGCAAAGGAACCTGTTTTACCTTTCATTGCTATTGTTGGTGGTAAAAAAGCAAAAATTCATTAAGGGTTGCTATTTTTAAGAACTTTTACTCCTTTTGGATGGTTATTGATTTTATAGATAAATATTCTTTATTTTCTCTTTTCTCTAATTAGGAATTGCTCTTAATGAAGTGCAGGTATGTGACAATAAAGAGCCTTCATTTTTGTTGGGGAAAGAAAAAAAATTAAAATGTGAGAGTACTATTTATTATTTCCCAAATAAGAAATTTGAATGTATAGATGAATTACAATTGAAGAAACTGCAGTAAAAGAAGAGCATGAACGTATTCAGGCTTTAATTCTTGTTGGGCAGTATTAAATACTAAGATTGTTGAGTGCAAGTCAAATTTTAGTGCCTCAGAAGGTTCCATGTAGTAAGTTAGAAAATATTTTAAGGTACTTATGAGCATCCAGTCTTCTTCAGCATAATCTGTTGCACAGGTCAGTATAAATTAGCAAAAAATATCCTTTTGCTGTGTAAACCCATGAAGGCAAAAAAGTAGGACAGATACAGCCAGGAAGTTTGAATTCTAAGCTGTAGTCACATCCCAATAGGGATAATTGGATAACAGATGTACATCTATCAAGAAGGGTTGATCAGTTTTCCATGATGTTAAAATGTTTTTCTTGGCTTCAGAGAACTTGGTCAGCAAAACCAAAGCTGATAGATTGATCTCTTCTCAACATTTTGCCCACTAGTTTCAAAAAAGAGCCTTGTAAGTTCCTTTTTTCAGGTCAACTAAGTTTCAGTGTCAAGCCATTGGTCTGATTTTGCCCCTCCCATGTTTTTAAAACAGTTTTCACTCACACTCTGTTTATCCACCATCAAGCACTACATGCCATAGAAAACTTTGATTTTCAAAAAATCATAAAAAATTCTCAACATTATGTCAAATGCTGAAACTTGGCACAAAGTCCTATAATTACAATTCTTCATCATTCACTGTGGGGTTTTTTTTACAACAAAATTTTTCATGAATTTTTAGCTGTTTCCTTTTTGATGTAGCAGGAAAACAGGCACTACTTGAAAAACACAAAGAAATTGTTGGAAACTTGTTTTTTGTGCAAACCAAAGCCAATTATGAATCACTCATGCCATTATCTTGGGTTATCTTGAACATTTGATTCTGATAGCTCATATCACTTTGATCTATATACCCCTGGTCTCTTGCTCTCCAACTCTCTTGCTCCTCACATTCAAATTTGCGCAAATTGACTAAGTTTATTGAAGTTGTCTTGCTGTTTACCAAATTTACTCCTTTTTTGACCCAGTTTCACATGCAGTCACAAACAATAAGAAGGTCTGAGGTTCAATTCTTCATGGGCACTCAAAACTTTTTCTTTGTCCCACGCTTTTGACAAGATGAAAAAACATCTTTTCACAATGAGGAAGTTACTTCTATTTTTCTCATAGGCAATAACAAGATGAAAATCAAAATTTATAAGCTTATACTTCTTAATTTCCTAGACCATGATGCATTCAACTGCATACTGCTTATCTCATTTAGGCAATAAGGTTTTCTGGGTATGCATCACTCTATGTTAGTAATATTTCAAATTCATTCCTTTTGCGTCTCAATAAATTTAATGCTACGAATTGAGTAACCCTTTTATTACTGAACAAATAGGATTGCATGCATGCAGTAATAGGAAGTGATGTATACTGCCAATCAGTTGGTGAAAGTGTTCATGTATATCTTTGTGACCTCAAATTCTCACTGTTTCAGTAATTTTTCTAAATAAAGCCACCCACAGTTACTGTTTGATAAATTACTGTGTTAAAGAACAACAGTCCCATATGTCTTGAAATGTAAACATGAAAAACCATTTCCTCAACTAGGCCTCCTGACACAAATAAAACACAATTGAGTGTGAAGTTTATTAAGTATACAAACCAACAATAAGCAAAAGCCAATGATATGCCTAATAAACCTCTCTGCCACCCTATAACTTCACACAAAATCACCCAGGGTGGGAGGGTGGGTGGGAAGAAAAACAAAACAGTACAAAATCTCTGGTGTACGCTTGAAGTGAAAACTGATGCAAAATGAAACACTGAATTCCTAGTGTCTGATATAAGAGGGTGTGTGTTTCACAACTAATCCCTTTGGACACATGCTTGTCCAAAGGGGGTAAATTTAGTCCTATAGATGTGTATTTTAGCATTGGTGTCAGTTATTTTTCAGTCTAAGATTTCGTTATTAATCAAATCAAAGGTTAAGAGCAACAATGAGAAGAACGATAAACCTGGGATGTCAGCCTTACTCTCAAACAGATCCAATAATGGAGGTAGAATTCCAGACCACTCCACACAAATGTTAACAGAAAAAGTGAGTAGCTTGTTTAAAATATTGCAAAGATTAGTACACCTTTGAGTCTTATTATTTGCATATATAGGCAAGGAATGTTGTCCATGAATTAGCACCAATTTTTATATTCTTTGTTCACATGAACAAATAAGTAAACAAAGAAGAGAAAGAGAGAGAGATAAAAACAAGTGACTAGTGTGATATAGAATATTGAATTAAGTCCTATAATAATTTACTTGAAAATCAGAGGTTTTGATTCGGAAAACCTTACCATCTGTGACATTATATAAGTTAACTTATAATCTTATTTTAAACTTCAGGGTGTTAAGAAACTCTTACCTTTGATCCAGGTAGATTTTGTATTCTGTGGAATTTCCCTTACAAAAAGATTATTACCTCAGCAAGCTGAATATAACATGTTGAGAATGAAAAGCTGATCTCTTAACTATCATGGAAGCCAATCACTTGCTGTGTGCATTGTACAGTATTTGTATTCTTAACAAAAAGCTGAAACTGCATTTGTCTGTCTGGTCTTCAAAATTTTTAAAGAAGGCCATGGATGATGCATCTGGCAAACCTTTTACACAATACACCCATTTTCTACCTAAGGTAAAATTGTTTGCTTACAGATAATAAGAAGCACTTTTTCATTTAACAGGTGGTGCAATTCTATTCTTAATGAGAAAGATTACTTAAATTTGTATTCTGCTATAACTAAAATTGTTTTGAAGAATTTAGATAAATAATATTCTGTTATATATACACCACAAAGTTGATCTCATTTAACTCTTTAGTGGTCTTAAGCTTAGAATTAAACTTTGAAAAGTAAACAAACAATTCTAACTTCTACAGCTAATCATAAAGCATTAAAGTTGGTTGGTGTGTAATAATTATTCTATTAAAGCAAACAAAAAAATGTGGGAATTCATGGTTTTTTGGCAGGTCAGAATGAAAAAATCCCTCTCTTTTGCTGCATTTTTACTGATTCCTTACATTAATGCCTCCATTTTCCTTCTTTTGCTTTAGTTAATCTGTATTATGTTATAATATACTGGGAATTTATGTAATGGCCTTTGTGTACCGGTATATGTAATTGGTATTTTTGTTCTTTCAATGTTAGAAACTACTCCCAGCTGCCCATGAAGACCAGTTACGTGCAGAAATGGTTCACATTAAAGAAAAGCTTTTCAAATCAAATCTTGAACTCAGTGAGCTTAAGAAAATGAGGACTGAACATATCACAATGATTGAAGATCTAAAAGTAAGTATAGAAAATTTCTGCACTTGAATTTATTGGTTTTAATGTTTTGATTGATGTCTGACTATGTGCAACACCACCTTGATCATGGTGATATTGCTATCAAACTTGTATATAGTAAAGTTTCCCAAAGATCTGTAGCAATCTACATGTTCCCACAGAATAGGCGGTTGTGCTGCACAGTGAATATTGACATGAATAACAAGCAAATACCAGGAAAAGATAGTGCTTAAAATCTCAATGAGATAGTTGAAATGTTTGAAGAAGGCAACATTCAGTTGTTCAGTGGACAAATTTTTTAAGAGTTGATAAATGGATGGAGTCGTGATCGTGTTACCAAAATGGCAAATGAAGTTATTAAGGTGGCTCACATTGGGTTACCCCAATTATTTTAAAAAAATAACTGTGTATATTTTCAAAAAAATTAACTATTTTCAAGGGAGGAAACAGAAAAGCGTTAAAACTATGATCTCTTGAGGAGCCACCTGGCTAAGGGGCAAACCTGTAGTCATGCCATCTACTGTGTACCATTGACTTGGAAAAAAATAAAAAAATAAATACCAGAATGTAATAAAAAATTTAGAGGTAAACTGTTCCATAGCTCTGGAGCATCCACAGTAAGGGATCTTGCTCCATATAATTTAAGGTTATAATAAACGCATTTTAAAAGAGGGTCAAATGATGACCACAGGCTTCTTGTAGGGATCTGGGGGAAACTTAGTCTTAAATATGACTTGGAGATTCATCATGCAAGGCTTTGGAGGTTGGCAAGAATATTTTGAATTTAATGCACTTAGCAATGGGTAGCCAGTGGAGTTGAATGAAGATCAACATTACATGTATGTGGTCATATTTTTGAGAGTCAGATATTATATGTATGTGATCATATTTTCAAGAGTCAGATATTACATGAGTAGCAACGTTTTGAATATATTGGAGCATCTTAAGAACATACTGTGGAACACCAAATAGAAGAGTGTGACAGTGGTCAAGTTTATAAGAACCAAATGAGTGAATACAGCAGAAAAAATCCAAAATTGAACCAAGAACAGAGCCTTGCAGAACACCAATTTCTAGTTCATGAGTTAGGGACTTTTCTTGATCAATTACAATGGCAAACTTCTAGTTCAATCTTCTTAGCAAAATATTATAGTTACAATGAAGCACCAAGATGGCATTCTTAAGTGTCAATAATGAGAGATACATGTTTAAATACCACTTGTCTTTTGAAACTGCTGTAATTTGTTGATTATATGTATAATGAGACTTAAACATAAACTTGAAATCAGTTTTATTTTCCCTGATACCTATAGCTAAAGCTTACATACAGAACAGGAAAAATTTAAGATTGATCCAAATGATCGAGTGTAATAAAGGACCAAATCTGGTTTCCAGTCTTGCAACAAGTACACAAAGAGCCCATACTGGTTTAAATACCACTTTCCATTCAGAATAACTGAACTGAAAACTAATAGAGATTTAATACAAAGAGTGGAATTTCTTTGCTTGTCCATAAACACTGTCAGGTTCAATTATGTAATAGCAGCACTTCTTTCTGTGCAGAGACAAATTTTACTCTGTTTGTATAAATGTTGTATGTTCCTCCTTAAATGTTCAACCCTTGAAAGAGATGTAAGACTTGCTGAAGGAATTGTTGACTTCCTTTTTAACCTCCACTAAGAATGCACACAGAACTTTATCAGGCTTTTTTGCACTTCTGAATTTACAATCTCTTTTTCTTTTGTACTCAAAAACTCTTTGACCAAAGCAATGTCCATGTTAGCTTTACTCATTGCATCTTGATAAAATCTTCTAAGAGTAAAGCAAGAGGAACATAGCAGAGAGCCAAAGTCATGTTTTTGAAACAGAAAGCTTGAGTGGGTACTGATTTGAACACATCACTTTTCAGATGCCATTTGAGTGCTTTGCTTTGATTGGCTTAGTGATTCTACTCTGGATGGTGGTTTGTTAATATACTTTTGATATGTTAAGATTGCAATACTCAAAGCTGATTGGACATATCTATTTTTCAGATGTGAAAATGTAGCACATACAGAATTTTATTTGCATGGTTTCTTGCCTAAAATTCTCACTCTAAATAGTGGTAATTGAACTCAGTGGAGTGCAGTTTGGTCTGAAATCATGTGCGTGATTTCAAAATCAAAGTAGTGGGTAGCACTAATTTGATTTGAAAACAAGTATGATTTTAGCCCAAAATTGCACTATTTAAAATTCAATTACCACTTTATTACATCCATTTTGAAATCGCACAATTCAGTCACTCAGATAAAGGATTTTGTAGTTTTGTAGAGCTGGTTTGTAGAAAGTTTCAATTCTTTTTTTTTTTTTTTCCATTTTCGTACAATTTGATTGGTTTCTTCAAACAATCGATTGTGGCATTTTATTTAAGTGTCCTCATTGGCTGGGAAAAAGATGTAATTTAGAGAAAAACATGGTGCTTTCCTTGAATAAATTGCACCATTGCGAGCAAGTCAGATTACAAGGATTACCTGTGATTTTAAAATGAATGTAATAAATATAACAAGAGCTTGTATTACTTCTGCCCTTCAATGTTTCTACTCATCAAGTTATCTCCATGGGCATACACTGGCCTCTTTCTGGCTGGTACTTGAGCTTGTTCTGATAATGTGTCCTTTCGAGCAAATTGACTGCAATGGCTAAAAATAAGTAGTTACAGAGCTTGGTTTATTTTAATAGTAGTAGTAATAATAATGATGATGGTAATAATAATAATAGTAAAAAAATGATAATAATAATAGATAATTGATTGTGACTTGTGGCTTGTGGCTTGTGTCTGGTGTTGTGGGCATGCTCTGAAACGGCGGAGGTCTCGGTACTGGCGGGTCGAATGTCTCGATCGTGCTCCTTAATTCTGTCTTTCATAGGTCTTCCAGTCTCTCCAATGTATACCTTCCCACATTCACAGGGAATCCTGTAAACTACGCCATCTTGTTTAGCCGGGTTGACAGCGTCTTTTGGTCGTACTAACTGAGATCTTAGCCTGGTCTCCGACTTGAAAACAGCGCGTACGCCTTGTTGTTGTAGGCAACGGCGAAGCTGTTCGGACAGACCTTTGACATATGGTAAAACGGCGCCACCATAGGGAGTCCGGTTTCCGCTGTTATTGCTAACCTCTACATGGAGAGTTTCGAAGAACAGGCGACAACTACATCATTCTACGAGCCTAGGATCTGGAAACGCTACGTGGACGATACCTTTACCATCCTGGATCGCAAAAAAAGTTGATGCCTTCTTACAGCATTTAAACAACCAGCAGCCTTCCATCCGCTTCACCATGGAGACAGAGAAAGACAACAGACTCGCCTTCCTAGACACCGCAGTTTTAAGAGAACCTGACGGCCGCCTCACCACCAGCGTATACAGGAAGCCCACGCACACCGATCAATACTTAGCGTATGATTCACACCACCCTCAATCAGTATAACGCCGTATTGTTAAGTGCCTTTACGAGCGCGCCAAACGTCTCGTAACAAAACCCTCTGTCATCTCCGAGGAGAAAAAAACATCTTTCATCTGTTCTGGTTTCTAATATCTATATCTATATCACACGTGACATCGTGAGATAAACGAAAAACTTAGCTTTTATTGTTATTCACCACGATGAATAACCACAACCTTTTCTGCGAGCCTGCTCCGAACTCTACGGGCCGTGAGATTGATAGCAACCCGATCGTCGAACGACCTTGTAACCTTTCGGTTCGGTCAAATACAAAAACGGCTCCTGTAGGAGCCACCCAATCTATAAAGGTCATGACCAACGAAAGTTCTCTGTATTTCACTGTTTGACCACATTTCTTGTTTCCGGTCGCCCTAGCTCCCACGCACATATAAACTTTCAAAATGGCCGTCGGTCAATTAAAATTCAAAACTTGTCTTGGTTCTAACTTGTTTGCAATGTTCGATAGCAACTAATTTAGACATGACTCAATCTGGGGGCGAACTCGACTTATCGCCTGAAGAAGACTAGCAGTATGCAGTCGAAACGTCGCGATCTACATCACACGTGACTACATCGTGAGACAAACGAAAAACTTAGCTTTTATAATTATAACATTATTTATAATAAAATAATTATAACAATAAAAGTGGTTATATCATTGTGATAATTATATTGATGATGTTTGGTGTTAATTCATGATAAACTTTTTAATATTCCGGATACTTAGTCCATTTTGATTTATGTGTTTTTAGAAAGAATTGCTTCAAGTGAAAAAGAGAAATAAGCAATTGTGTTACATCCTCAGCCAAGCAGAAAGTAAGTAAAGTCCTTTAAATATTTTGTTATTAATATGGCTGCTAGTTACAAATTTTACAAATGACAAGTTTATGAGAATATTCTGATCTTAACTAGCTCATATAGCTGAAGAATAGAAAAATGAACTCCACAAGTATTGCAAGGAGGCTGTCTAACTGTCATCATCAATGACAATTTTTGGAGGATTAGGGGTGATCTCTTTTTAAAGCATGTGATAAATCAAACCCGTAGGGCTTCCTCTGCTGCAAACTAGCATGTGATTGACGAATAAGGGGGTTAAGTTTCTAAAGAAACTGTGGTGCTGCCTCGGTGGGGGGCAAAACAAGATGGTTTGGTTTTATCACCTGAGTCGATAATGTAAATTGGCCACCGTTAAGAGTTTCAAAGCTGACGTTTCGAGCGTTAGCCCTTCGTCAGAGTGATCGAACGGCGAAGGGCTAACGCTCGAACGTCGGCTGTAAATCTCTTTATCAACTCAGTTGATGAAAGCAAAATGTCTTAGCATATGATTGGTTTGGATGTCTATACGGCCCCTACAACAAGAGTCTTAACTGTTATTAAAAAGGTAACCAGTCAAGTCGCCCGAGAGTCATCTCGCCCGAAGTCATATCGCCCGAAACCTGAGTCATGTTGCCCGAAATTTTAGTTATGTTACCTGAAAAAAGAAAGTCAAGTCGCCCAAAGAAACAAATACTAAAAAGATCAGAATTTCAGACTGTAAATGGGCAATAAAGTTGAGAATTTTTTTATCACTAAAGCGCTCTTTGTTACCGACAACACTATGAAGATTCTTAAAGCGTTCTTCGTTCCTAACAACAAAGGGAAACGTTGAAATAGGCAATGAAGTTGATAAATTTTTATCACTAAAGCACTCTTTGTTTCCGATAACAAAATGAAGATTCTAAAAGCGTCGTTCGTTCCTAACAACAAAGGGAAACGTTGTTCGTTTCTAACAACAAAATGAAGCGTTGTTCGTTTGGTATGTAATCGTTCCCTACTCACGGACGTTTCGTAAGCTTGAGAAACTTTATCTTGATTTCTAAGAATACCATGAAGACTTTGACTACACAGAAATCGATCGTATGGTCGTAATTGAAATATGTTTGAGTTACGACTCTAAAAGCGTTGTTCGTTTCTTACAACAATGGGGAGCGTTGTTCGTTTCTAACAACAAAATGAAGCTTTGTTCGTTTCTAACAACAAAATGAAGCGTTGTTCGTTTGGTATGTAATCGTTTCTTACTCACGGAAGTTTCGTAAGCTTGAGAAATTTTATCTTGGTTTCTAACGACACCATGAAGATTTTGCCTACACAGAAATTGATCGTATGGTCAGAATTGAAACATGTTTGAGTAACGACTCTAAAAGCGTTGTTCGTTTCTAACAACAAAGGGAAGCTAACCAAACCACACTACATCGCCTGGGCAGCTAACAAGGTGTGCCAGCGTCTCAGGCCGGAGGATCGCGAAGACCTTGATTTTGTATTGGACGACGACGCCCTACCAGATAATTTCCTTGTTTCTGACATCGAAATCAGAAACAAACGTCACCTGGTGTTTGCCGTTGAAGCTCAGCTTGAACTCCAGGCAAAAGCCAAAACATGGTACATCGACGGCACCTTTAAACTCGTACGACGTCCTTTTACTCAACTGCTAACAATAAATGCCTTTGTTAGATCTGGCGAAAGTTGCAAGCAAGTATCTCTGGTCACGTGCTAATGTCGTCTCGAAAAAAGAAAGACTACATGAAGGTGAGTTTTTGACATATGTCTCTATGACTAAGTATTCTAGCGTGTAGTTGACATGTTCTGAATGCAACTTCCAAATTGTTTATTTTTTTTTTCTTCAACAAAATAACAAAACTTACTGAGTGGACGTCGATCAAAAATGACGTTACCTTTTATTGTACAGGTCCTGGGACTAATTGTCTCTAAACTACTGAGAGACCCATCTGTTCAAAAAGTCGTCCTTGACTTTGAAAAAGCTATGTGGTCCGCGACAAGAGATGTTCTGTCCGGAGTCCAGATAACCGGGTGCGCTTTTCATTGGAGGCAATGTGATTGACGAATAAGGGGTTAAGTTTCTAAAGAAACTGTGGTGCCTATTCATATCCAAAACGAAACAGAATCTAGACGGAAAATACATTACCAAGGTGTAAATTGTCTTATCAAAACCGGTAAATACGATTTTTTTGTTTAGGTTCAAGACATTGATCTCGGTGTGCCGTACAGCAGTGATGACTGTATCTACCATTACATCGCGGCCCTTATGGTTCTGCCGTACCTGCCGCACCAGGAAATTTCAGGAATTTTCCAAAGACTGAACTCCGTGCGACCACCCAAGCCCTTCAAGACCTAGTAAATTTTATGTCGACGCAGTGGATTAAAAGCTCTACATTTTCCTCCAGTTCTTGGAGCGTCTACGGACAGCCTGTGCGTACGAACAATGATATTGAGGTCTGGCAAAACGCATTAAACAGACGCGCTTGTAGTCGAGTTCAACTACCTTTCTACCTACTTATTCAGCTATTACATAGAGAATCGGTGGTATGTACAGTGCAAGTGCGTATCGTATTTATAGAGAATTTAAAGGTTTGAAATTGAAGTTCAGTGACATTTCACTATTTGTATGTTACTCGCTTGACTTTTTACTTGCATGTCGAACGCGACAGTCGACATCCGTTTACCCGGGTTTTTTTATTTGTTTGTTATTGTTAAGAAGCTCACAAATCGACACAACAGAACTTTATTTGTATGTCACTCGCTTGACTTTTTACTAACCTTTCACACGCGACAATTGACATCTGTCTATCAGGGTTTTAAACGACCGAGTACGAATCGACAGAGTGCGAAACGTCCTTGCGCTGCATTTTGTTTTAATGGAAGCGGACAACACTTCCCTTTGTTGTAAGAAAACGAACAACGCTTTTAGAATCGTTCCTCAAACATATTTGATCCTGACCATATGACCGATTTCTGTGAAGTCAAAGTCTTCATGGCTTTGTTAGAAACCAAGAAAAAGTTTCTCAAGCTTTCGAAAGGTCCGTGAGTAAGAAACGAGTACATAATAAACAAACAACGCTCCATTTTGTTGTTAGAAACGAACGTTTTTTTAGAGTCGTTACTCAAACCTTTTTCAATTCTGATCATACAATCGATTTGTGTGTAGTCAAAGTCTTCATGGTATTAGAAACCAAGATAAAGTTTCTCAACGCCACATTTTGTTGTTGGAAACGAACAACGTTTCCCTTTCTTGTTAGAAACGGGCGACTTGACTTTTTTTTCGGGCGACGTCACTAAAATTTCGGGCAACATGACTCAGGTTTCGGGCGACATGACTATGGCCGAGATGACTCTCGGGTGACTTGACTGTAAACCATTCAACTACACGCTCAATCTCTCTCAATTTGAAAACGAAACTGGGCATTATTTGATTTCACTTTTAACTTGTGCTCGTTGCTTTAAACAAGACCGTACACTTCTTTATAGTCCAGAATTTTTAAGGTTAATCCAGAAACTCCAGAGACAGGCTAAATCAATTGATAATGGTAATAGGACTGAGTGGAGTCCAATTCGGACTAATCACTTGTATGATTACAGACGGAATTGGACGACCTGAAGTCTTGTTACCAATGAAACACAGACGAAATTTGAAAAAGAAAGTAGACATCGGTTCTACGTTCATTTATAATAAAGTTCGGGTATAACGCGCGCTGTCATTGGTTGAAAGAGCGTGCTCTATGAGAGTATAGAGCATAGAACTGAGCTAAAGCTGTCACGCCATCTGCCAAATTGTACTATGTTCGACCTTTTCCGGGACTTCTGTTTAGCTTTTTTCCGATAATTGAAAGTGAAATTTCGGAACAAGCGAGCCGGCAAGTAGCAACAGAAGAACCAAAGAAAGGTTTGTAAACATACCAGGCACCGTAATTTACGTTATTAAAACGTGAGCAGATACGAAAATCCTCAAAGGAAAAACAAAATAGACATTTCGATTTTTAAAGATTTTCACGCTCAGTTAGATTGCAAGCTTACGCACGGTAATAAAAATCAAACACAGCCAACACTCGTATAGTATATAAAGTTCAGAGTTCAAAAACAAAACAGAATAAAACAGAAATGATGAAAAATGTAACCAAACTGGCATAACTGTGAAAATTCATACTAATCATGACGGTGTCTGAGCAAATATGATCATGCTGAAGTCCATCGCGGCTCGCTTATCATGGCGATCTCCGGTCATCACAGTAAAGCAAGCCTCAGAAACTACATCGGCCGCCCTTCGAGTGAAAAAATAAGAGCTCGCTTTGATATCCTTTCCGATGTGTTGAGTGGAAAGTCACTTCAGTCACTGCAGCCGAGTTTTGCGGCGCTGTCATCCCGAGCGATCTTCATGTTCCGGTGAATTCAGCTGTCGTTCATTTAAGAAACACTCGCCTTGAACAGTTTGTTTTCTACCTTGTCATGTGAAAAAACTCGCGTGCTTTTTTTAGCCATAATTCGGCTGAAGTTCACCGAACATTTCACTTTAAGATTCTGTATTAAAAACTTCAGGCAAAAGCCTTAAATTCGACCTGCCGAACTATTTTAGTTTGTAAACTATCGCAGATTGTGAACTTTGATGGTTTTTGAACTTTGATGGTTTGACACTTTTGACAGCTTTTGTCTTGTACAGCCAATCAGATTATTTGAACCATTCTAACAGGGATTCTGATTGGCTTATTGTAACGTACTCTATGAGAGTTTATAATAAAGTTCGGATATAACGCGCGCTGTCATTGGTTGAAAGAGCGTGCTCTATGAGAGTATAGAGCATGCTGACGACACTGTTGTTCGCTTTGGAAATAAAGTTTGTTTTAAAAATTTAAAGTAATGCATGGGGAATTTAACAGATTCTTTATTATAAAACAAATAGAGAAGCCTTGACTGTGAGAAGTGGGGAGAAACACTCAACTACGTCTCGTGTTTCTCCCTACACTTCTTTCGTGCTCTAGCCGCTTCCTGCGTGCTTTATAACAGAACAGAGCACAGTCAAGGCTTCTCTATTTGTTAAAAAGAAAACATCAGTTAACTCGGCGGACTGCGCGACAGCAGCGCGCGCACATAATAAGCATTGTCCACTTACACAGGCATGACTTGTCAACTCTCCTATCAAACTGTCCAATTAGAAGCATTGCACATACACTGTCCCATCAGTACTCAAATCGGTATGGTGATAACCAATCACGTTCAAGAATTTTGTTGTAGTTTTGATTAAATGGGAATCTACAGACTGGTGCAATACATTTACAAGTAATTAAAATATTATGTCCAATTGTATTATGGATTGTTTTGTAAACGATAGCCCACATTTGGCGCAAAGATATGCTCTGATATTTGTCCTCGGACTTTATCTGTTCCGAGAGCAAAGCTCGTGGAAAACTGTAACGGGAATAGCTGATGTCCAAGGACAAATTTAGTTCATATTTTGAGCAATGTCGATAGCGTCATGTTTTGTAAAGAGAATAAGAAAGATGGTAAGTTTTGAGCACGGTAAAGAAATAGATAGGAAGAAGAGCATCCTCGCATTATGCAGGACGCTTGTCATATGTAAACTTCGTAACGAGCTCTGCTCACCATAGAGTCTCTGTGGCTCAGTGGAAGAGCATCGGAGCGCGGAATCCGAAGGAGTGAGGTTCGATTCCTCATGGGGACTCAGAATTTTTTCTTTGTCTCACGCTCGTGACAAGACGAACAAACTTCTTTCTCTATCTGTGCATATATTCGCTCAAAATAGAGGCTATTGTCTTTATTATCCTTCAAATATTTACTGTATGCAGCGTGGGACGTTTTCTTTTGAGGATTCTGTGGTACGACTTAATTAAAGAAAAAAGACGTCCCTTCTTCTGTAACAGCCAGAAAACTCTCTCTCATCGTGCTTTAAATTTGAAACGAGGACCTATCGTAATGGACGTAAGGTTTGAAAATTGAAGAATATCGCTTGAGTGATATTCGAGAATATGACTCAGTTTTAGCTGGAGGATATTCGGTCACGGGCTGCGTTGAAACCAATCGCGCGCGGGCAAAAATATTTGATGGATCATAACACTGGATACTCCCCAGATTTAGCTTGGGCATATTCGGCCACGGGAACGAGCAAAAATAATTGATGGATTATAATTTTAAATATCTCTAGTGAAAGAAAAGTCTGAGTTGCTGACTGAAATTGAAGAATTGAATGAAGTGAAAGAACAGGTACAAGACTAAGTAAGACGCTTTGCTTTCTTAGAACTACAACATTTTTTGGACAGTGAGAGTGGGCGGTTATTCGGGGCTGGGCGGGTATTAACCATTCATTATTTTTAGCAAGCTATAAATTTATTTAGAAAATAAAAAAATGTGATAATGTTCCATAGACGGTCAACTTTAAGAATATAACCCATTAAAGAAATCATAATGATTATTACATGGCAAGGCAGTCCATTAGTAAATCCGGGATTTTGCCACACGAACCGTTTCCACGGAAACGGTCATATGTTTGTTCGCGAAAGCCGGACAATTCAAAAGAAAGAGGTTTGGTCCATGTGCCATATTATAAACTACTTGTTAACCTCGTCTGCTCGAGCCTTACTGGGGAGTATTAGTACATTTTTTTGTTGTTGTTCTTTGTTATTTCATTTTTTTCGTTTTTTGTTTTTTTTTTGTTTTGGGTGGAGGGACGTTTAATTGAGGTTGAGCACTGAATTGTAAAAATACGGTAAATCTGATATTGAAATAAAAAACTTTACATATATGATGAAAACATGAAAAACAATGTAACTTTAAATGACGTTAGTGATATGTTATCCAGTCACGTCATGAGTAGCCTGGGAGCAGTCCCACGTTATTACCGCTGCAGGACGCACGCATGTTTTTTCCGCCCGCGGAAAGATCTGAGATGAGTCGGGGAGAGTTTTGCCGGAGATTAGTGCTAAAGACCTCGTACTTTCCCGCGGGCGAAGAAAGGCTTGCGCCAAAGCTAGGGTGTATGTAGAACAGCATTTAACGACTGCATTCTCTCTTATGCCTTTAAGGTGTTAAACACTAACAAAGACACAAAACAACAGTAATTCAGAATAAATTGTTATGAGTGGTCTTGTGCCTTTTAAAAAAAATTGTAATTTTCCAATTGATTTTGGCATGTGAAGCCGCGTGAAAACTAAAAATACCTATCAAACGTTTGTTTCATTTTATTGATATGAGTTTATCTTGGTGGGTGGTGCAGTTACATGCTGAATTAGAACAAGAGAGATCTAAGAATTCTGCTTTGAAAAGTGAAATAGCGAAGGTGAGGGTTAAATCGTTGATTTTAAGTAAATCTTTATTTGGTTCCGCTGTAAAGAGATCAATTCCTCACTATTTTTCAAGTATTGTAGATAATTTATCAGAGCATCTGATATTTAGAATTTGAGACTTTACGTCACATTTTCTTGAAGAATTCCCAGTAAGCGGTGGCTTTTTTGTTCTGGCATGTGACTTATGGTTTTGCCCAATCCCTATTATTGAAACTTATGGCTCCTTTATTTTTCCAGCCCGTATGGGGAAGACAAAGGCATGGTTCATGTTCCTGACGGCTCCGAATGATGTTCATGTGAAAAGAAAGTTCAGAGTTGTTATTTTTGTTCTGATTACTCAACAATAGGTGCGTACCAGGTAATTAGGAACTTGCAGTTCCATCGTAAAGGAAAAGCATCTCTTGAAAGAAAAATAAAAGAGAGTCGTTTTGCTTCAAAAATGTCTAACAACTGATTTTTATCATATTATTGTCTTGTTAATGAAAATACATTGTGCATAAGCATCAAGGGCTGGGACAAGGGGAGATACCCAAAACGGAAGTAGGTTTCCCACGCATATCCAATTGGTAAAAGTTACGGATATTTACAAAGTTGTAAAGTGATAATAGTAATGAAAGATACGTGAGTTTGGTTAACTTGGTATGAGTGTTGGACAGAGTCCTGTCGGAAACATTCGCGTGCGTAAGGGTGTCAATCCGATTACTGGGTTGATACCTCGAAACTCAGCTACAGTTAACCCTTGTCATGGTCATATGAGGAGCTTCCAGCGATAGTGCCAAAAAGGAATAGGGATAAAACTCGGGTACCATGGAAAATGAATAGAAAGAATTTGGCTGAAAGAAAAATGTCGCAGAATGTTCTTTTATCAATAGTTAACTAAATCCAGGGAAAAGACACATCAAAACAACCAAAATTTTAATTTTAGTCAAATTAAAATAATTACTCTCTTAAAAGAGAGTTGGAGTCAGTTGGCATCAGGACAAACAGACAAAGACCATGAAATACAGTATTAGAATGTGCTGCAGTTGACTATTTAGTAACCGAAACTGTGGTCTTAACGGGAAAATCTCTTACTGAGGCCATGCCGTATGCCATTGTTGCATTTACACGATGTAAAATGACGAGGAAAATAAAGTAACATGTCAACATTTTAACGAAAATTATCTCAAATCAATATCCTAATTCGTGTTTACCAACTGCACATCGACAGTTTCCATTGATGTCCACAAAATTAGCTTAGATGAAATGTCATGCGAAAAAAAAGTAGCTGAATCGTTCTTAACTGCGAAAGAAAAATACTGAAGTGACCAAAAAGACAAAGTACTGGAAACAAAACGATAGAAAGGAATTTAAAGCTAGCACAAGCAATATCCTTGAAGGGACTCACTCGGTCCCTAAGGCAGTTCGAGACTAATTCTTTAATAACCGATTCCAAATCTCGGTTTGGGAGTCATTTGGTTACCTAGACAATTTAGGCATGCTTCGAACCCTCGACTCTGATAACCTCTCTGGTTTCTATTGCGCGCCACTGTCACCGCTTGATAGTCTGGAAACTCTTCGGAAAAGTGTCAGAAATCGTCAGCATAGAGAGTTTTTGGTACCGCAAAAGAAGGAAGGGGAGGGGTGGCAGGGTTTCTCAATTTGGCGTTTCTTAAACAAAAATTGAAATAAATAATGAGCAAATAAATTGATAAGGTGAGTGTTATAAGCAAGGAATTAGCATGTGTTGTAGCTCTAAACGTTGCGCTCATTTAAGGCTAGTCGTTCATCTTCGGTGAGTACTAGTATATCGTTACGGTCTGTGCCTGACTTCTCAGTTTCCTAGAGTCTCTTAAGGCTGTTGTCGACGTCGCAGCAGGATTTTTTTTCCTCGCTCCATACTGGTTTTCTAGAGAAAAAGACACATGTAACGTGAGATCGTGTTCTTACAGTCCGTTTCCGTCAGGTGCACCAGTATATCTCCGCCTATCGCACATCCCCGTCCACCATTCTTTACTCGAAGATCAACATGCGAATGGTGGAGTTCTGCGTTATCAATGCAATCAAAAGAACGAGAAGTTTATCATTTGCTGGCTTGGGAAAACTGTAATGGATCAAGTGATGCCATTTATTCTTATTTTCAACCGATTCACGACTTTGTAATTGCCCTTGACTTTTTGCGGACACGTTTTTATACTGAAAATTCTGAAAATTTCCCATATGGACTTGAACTTTTCGAAATTAAAGGCTCTTGCAGTCTTAGTACTCCAGTAAAGTAACCTCGTTCAGAAAAATTTCGTTCGATTCGTCGTCAAGGGTAGCGTTAGTTCATTTTTACTTTTCTATCAGTTGCCTTCTTCCGTACAAGGAAAGTTCGTAACTAATAAGACCCAGTCTGCGTTTTTGTATTACAGCTGGTCAGGTCACCGGTGGAATGTACGGGCGTCTCCCGTGACCAAAATGACGCAGTGTAGTCATTGGTATGGCTTCTTACAAGACTTAATTTCCATGAAGAAAGTGGTGAGATATAACGATTTATATGGATGTAGAAAGTAAACCTGGACCAGGAGATATTATGACGGAGAGCACAGATCAACTAGATGAACCGAATCGGCAGGTGAGCAATGCGAGTAAAACAACATACTCCCGAGTTTTTTTGCTAAATATCCGTCGCCGTAGTAAGTTCAGTTAGCCCCTCAGTGCTCCGGTATCCGCCGCTTTCGCTCCCTATCGAGTTCGCCCCTTCGAGTTCGCCCCCTACCTTAAACCGTGTTCGCCCCCACACTTTTCGAGTTCTAACCCACCAAGTCGAGTTCGCCCCCAGATTGAGTCATGTCTAAATTAGTTGCTATCGAACATTGCAAACAAGTTAGAACCAAGACAAGTTTTGAATTTTAATTGACCGACGGCCATTTTGAAAGTTTATATGTGCGTGGGAGCTAGGGCGACCGGAAACAAGAAATGTGGTCAAACAGTGAAATACAGAGAACTTTCGTTGGTCATGACCTTTATAGATTGGGTGGCTCCTACAGGAGCCGTTTTTGTATTTGACCGAACCGAAAGGTTACAAGGTCGTTCGACGATCGGGTTGCTAGCAATCTCACGGCCCGTAGAGTTCAGAGCAGGCTCGCAGAAAAGGTTGTGGTTATTCATCGTGGTGAATAACAATAAAAGCTAAGTTTTTCGTTTATCTCACGATGTCACGTGTGATATAGATATAGATATTAGAAACCAGAACAGATGAAAGATGTTTTTTTCTCCTCGGAGATGACAGAGGGTTTTGTTACGAGACGTTTGGCGCGCTCGTAAAGGCACTTAACAATACGGCGGTATACTTATTGAGGGTGGTGTGAATCATACGCTAAGTATTGATCGGTGTGCGTGGGCTTCCTGTATACGCTGGTGGTGAGGAAGCCGTCAGGTTCTCTTAAAACTGCGGTGTCTAGGAAGGCGAGTCTGTTGTCTTTCTCTGTCTCCATGGTGAAGCGGATGGAAGGCTGCTGGTTGTTTAAATGCTGTAAGAAGGCATCAACTTTTTTTGCGATCCAGGATGGTAAAGGTATCGTCCACGTAGCGTTTCCAGATCCTAGGCTCGTAGAATGATGTAGTTGTCGCCTGTTCTTCGAAACTCTCCATGTAGAGGTTAGCAATAACAGCGGAAACCGGACTCCCTATGGTGGCGCCGTTTTACCATATGTCAAAGGTCTGTCCGAACAGCTTCGCCGTTGCCTACAACAACAAGGCGTACGCGCTGTTTTCAAGTCGGAGACCAGGCTAAGATCTCAGTTAGTACGACCAAAAGACGCTGTCAACCCGGCTAAACAAGATGGCGTAGTTTACAGGATTCCCTGTGAATGTGGGAAGGTATACATTGGAGAGACTGGAAGACCTATGAAAGACAGAATTAAGGAGCACGATCGAGACATTCGACCCGCCAGTACCGAGACCTCCGCCGTTTCAGAGCATGCCCACAACACCAGACACAAGCCACAAGTCACAATCAAAAAACACAACAACAGGAGAGCCGTGCGACAGCGGACCACCGAGGGAGCAAATCACTGATCAGCAAGGATCGAATGCACCAATCAGAGCTGTTGAAATACAACTACAGCAGAGCATCATACTTTATAAGATCACGCATGACCAGTCGACCTCATCGCCTGAAGAAGACTAGCAGTAGGCAGTCGAAACGTCGCGATCTACATTACACGTGACTACATCGTGAGATAAACGAAAAACTTAGCTTATATTTCTACACTTGTTGTTCCCGTTTGGAGTAATGGCCACTGTCGTACGGATTTAGTGGATCAATTTTTAATTTGGTCTAAGGAAAATAGTATGACCTGTAATCCGTTGAAATGTAAAGAAATTATTTTTCGCAAGAAAGGTTTTATTCAGGATATTGCACAAGTTAATAACATTCCGCAATGCACGAAGCTGCTCATTTTAGGTGTTACGTTTCAGGAGAATTGTAAATATAGCGAACACGTACGAGCTAAGTTGATTAAGGCAAATAAGCGTCTGTTTGTATAAAGATCTTTACGGAAGGAAGGTTTCAGTCAAGGTGAAGTAGATCATCTATTTAGCGCCTTAGTCTTACCAAATTTCACTTATGGTCTGCCTGTTTATTTTCGCCATACATTCTCTACTCTTTAACTGTTTAAACAAAACGTCTAAACTTAAATCACAAATGAAACCTCAAAACAAACACGAGATCATACCTTTCCATCGTGGTTGCGAGAAAAATGTTGCGAAGTGGTTGCAGAAAACAGACACTTTTAACCACGCAAAAAAATACCACCAAATAAAACCATCAAAAACGCGACCGGACAAAAATGAGAATCGCACACGCGAAGACTAGAAGCGTAACAATGCGTACGATGTCTTTCCAAAATTAAAAAAGTATCAGAGTGCGCACGTTAATCGCGTGTCACACCAGTTCGGTTCTGTCTTGTTGACCCTTTGTATCCTAAAATCAGTATGCACATTCTAGATACCGTTTTATAAACATTTCGTGAGGTGCTGGCAAGGAAAATCTAACAATCAAGAGCTTCTTTGGTTGGTGATCATTTCTTTATTCTTGTACACTTAATGTGTGATTCGGGGGTGACATTGTAAGGAGAAATTGGATGCTAGTGGTATCTAATCGTTTCGTACCCACAGTCGTTTCGAACCTAAACTCAATCGATTCATGCCCAGTTTGAGTCGTTTCGCAATCAAACCGCTGATCGATTCGTACCCGTACGTCCCAATTTGCTTTCATTCGAAAGACCTTAGGCACGACAAGTTTACAGTATCATCACATTTTGAAATCACCGATGAACCTTGCAAATCCGGTGCGATTTATTCACGGATCTAATCATTTTTTGCTCTAAAATACATCTTTATCCCAGCCAAAGAAAGCATCAGTAAAACACTAAAACAAATCGGATTTCAAGGCTTGTTTAAAGTAGTCAATCGAATTGCAGAAGAAGGAAAGACAGCTTTGTCTACAAACGGCCAAGTTTATTGTTATTCAGACAGCTTTATCTA